TTCAAGGATGGACAGATTAAGGTTCCCATAAAGTCTGAATTACTTTCAAAAAATGAGACTGGGTTTGATAACTAAAAATACAACGTCAAAATAATGCTAACATCAACACTGGGCTGTGGGTTGTGCTTGGATCAGTAAAAAATTATCCCTCTGCTACCCAGACACAAAATGGCCTTGTCAACATAATTAGCAAGAAACAGAAAACCCCCTCCAAAAAAACCCAACTTTGATGCTACATTGGAGCTTGTTCCAGTAACGTCTCTTTAGTGTGGTCCTGACTGCTTGCTCGACTGGATAGTTACCTTCTCTTCCCATCCCACATGGGCAGTTATGCCCTCATCTCCATATACAAGTGTGCTTACAGGAGAGATACATTCCACATCACTGTAAGTCTGTTTAAAACAGAATAAGCTTTCTAGAGAATTTTAACAGCAAGTACAATTAAATAAGCAAAATTAGTAATACTGGCTGGATGCTTCCAGGGGAGCTCAGCCCTGGAGAAAATCCCTTGAGGTTTAAGGACATTCTTGCAAAAGCATCATTTTCCATGTCAGTGATGAAAGGAAGCCAGATTGTTATATGCTTTATTGCTCAGACATGTCTCTTCCAAAGTCAGTCATCTTTTCCACAGTGAGGACAGCAGAGATAGACACAAGCCATCTGTCCATTCTTCCCACTACCTCATTCTGACTGACTGCATCTCTGGCCACTTCCCCGATGACCCATGCTTGCGTGCAAGCTGGACACAAATAGAAGGCCGGCTGTTGTAGCTAAGGGAGAGATGTCTTTAACAAATGTACCTTATTTTAATGTACTTCTTGAAGTCCCACTTGCAAAAAATTAATGTCAAAATAGAAGCATGTTTGTGTGCGCTTGGAAACTATAATGTACAGATCAATCATAGGCCCTGATCCTGCAGATAAGTCTGCCTACCATGGCTAGTGACAGGACTTGTAAAAATTTATGCAGCACTTGCTAGCTCAAAGTTAAGCCTATTCCACAGGCTGAAATACCCCAGTATCCTGAATCTCAGCCTTTTTCCTTTGTATCCCACATCCGCTTAGGTCTGAAAGCCCTGGTGCCCCACTGGCCAGACTGCTTATTAATACAACCTCCCGTATCAATTAAAACTATTATGCTAAGTGTCACATACACAGTGTGAGTGTGTAAAGCTTGAAATTTTAATGGAGGAAAGACAGACTGGGAGAGAGACACGAAAAGGTTGAGCGACTCAGCTAACATCATCCAGCAGAATACTGGCCCAACAAGAAACAAGATCAAAGCCCAGATGCAGTGCTCAATCCACTAGCAAGCACTATTTTTCAGTAAATCAGTTCTAAATTTAAAAAAAAAACCGAAAAAACCAACAAATGATAGGTAGCCAAACATCAATCCATCAATTTATTCTGAGTTTATACATCAAATCCTTTTTAAGCGACAAGAACACCTCTGCCACAGAACATGCTACTCAGCTGACAAACTAGTGTTGACAGCCCTCGCACTCATACGCTGGATGACAAACTGTCTTTTCCTGAACCCCAAGGTACTTGCAAAAATGGTAACTGAAATAACACAGCACCCACACTTGTGGGAAGAACAGCACTGGGACAGTCTCTTCAGACTCCGGAAAACAACAACATTGGTTTACGTCTGGTTCAGCTTTGTAAGGATACCTATGTGGTTAACTGGACTACAAATTTAAATCCTTTTTAAAAAGAAAGTTTGGATTATATGGATGGGAACAAACACCCAGAAAGATACCTACTGGCCCAAGGTAAGCGTTTTTTCCCCCAATCCTGAGCATAAGGACCTTAACTGGCACTAACATGTTATATCGGTAAGACAGCTTAGAAGTACTGCACAGAGAGAGTCTAACAGACTGAGTATCATAATTGCACAGTACTGCTTTATTCTGCATTTAGGCGACATAAAAACCTTAGCTTATAGCAGTCTTTTGGCATGAAAAGCCATTTATAATTAATAATTCCAAATGCAGAGAATGAGTTACAATGAGTATGTTTTATATAATGCCACCTACCTGCAGCAGCTAAATACAAAATCATCAAAGCAAATACTGGAGTCGTACAACTTGAAGTCATTTTTGCAAACGCTATTTTTTAAAAAAAATCAGCTTCCTTTGTTGTTCTTCATGTAGCTGCACTTCCTTTGAAAACCAGTGGAATATACTTTGCAATCAAGTCTTTCAGAATTCTAATGGCCTAGAAAGAAAAGTAAAATACATTGTGTTAAATAGTTGAAGACATTTATGTAAAATTACATCTTTTTATTATATCTAGCAAAAGATATTTTTAGACTATTACACAAGTGTATTTTATACTTCTGAATATTATAGGTAGCAAGAGGGTCATTTAGTCCATAACGAATCTTTTCATTTTTCATATTGGCTTCCACTCCCTTTTCTGCCCCCTCCTCCTCCCTCCTTGCTCAAAAAACAAAAAAAAAACCCTCAAAAACCACACCAGAGTGGTGATCTACAATGTATTGCATCATAAAGCTAGCCTTGGAGTCCTGCTGAAGTCTGGAAGTAGTTCCTATGGGCTTATGTTAGTTTAAATATACAGAGTTTCCTTGAGTCACTGATGTCAGGAAATACACTAACCCACCTTAAAATATTGGAAGATACTACAGACATGCACAAGTTATTTTCAGGTAACACAGTGATTCTGAGACATTTCTCAGTACTACTAACTTGAAAACCATTTGTAGATTCATAACACTAACAGAGAGTTTATAGAATTTTTATTTAAAAAATGTTTTGGGCCCAGGCCATAGGAATTACCATAAATATTCACAATGATAAAGTAAATACATCTTAGATATGCTGTATAGCTTAAATTACAACACATTAAATACCAGTGGATATTATTTAGAGTTTAAAATTTTTAATCAAAATTTCCAAACTAACTTTATAGATTTTTGAGTGCATCAGTTACCATACAATGCAACAGTCTCCCCAAAGCTGGAAGTACCGCATACCCCCTGGGGCCTTCCAAAGTACCCCCAGGGGTATGCATACCCCCAGTTGAAAACCCCTGAGCTAACTGCCAAGAATGAGAATCTCAAGTCAGTATACAGGGAATTAGAAGGCTGTTTATCAGATCCAACCAAATAAGAAGCAAAAATATTTTATTTCCCTACCAACCTTTACAAACAGATGATGGCTCAGTAACCATAACTACATATTAGAAATCAGATCAAACTACTGAAAATAAGCATTTCAGGTTGAGTGCCAGAATGTAGCTGAGCCAAGACAGAATTCCAAACCAAGGCAAAAATTAATAGTTTAAAAAACAAACAAACAAACAAACAAACAAACAAAACAAAACAAAAAACCCTTGCGCATCTTGGGTGGAATCAAAATAAGGTCATAGAAACTCAGGGCTAGGCCTGAACTTCACCATGATCTGCTATACAGGCTATAATTTTGAATGATCAGCAGCCTGTGCCATCACTGGATTATCATTTCCCAGAAGCAACATAAGGGGTTGAGAGGAAACTTCCAAGAACCTCTTTGAGGATTTGTCCTCCAAATAATTAAGGACCTATCTTATTAGCGGTTTACCGGATTTCACAGGAAGCATGAAATTTGGGATTGTCCACTACATCAACAAAATAAATAAATAAATCAAATGCTGGCTTTCCAGTGGAAGCACTGCCAGAAGGGGAAGGCACCAGCTGGCAAGGTGGTACAAAGAGCAGCAGACAAGATGGCAGCTACCCCTTAATCCCTCCTCCCCTGCCAGGGCCTCTCAGCCAATAAGCACCAAAGAGTGGGACTGCACGAAGGGCAGCTAGCAGTCAAAATGCTGGCCACCCCCTCATCCCTCCTCCCACCTGGGACCTCTCCACCAATCAGCACTGAGGGCTGGAGCCACTGAGAAATGACCACAAAATTAGAGCTTCACCCTGCAATCAGCCCGTGAAAAGTGGTAAGTCCCCCCTGTGATTTAGGTAGGCCTCTACAAATAATTCTCAAAGAGAGTTTCCCCCATAGAATGAACTTCAGTTAAACTCTAGGCAAGGGCTGTCAGTGCAATGACCCAGGGCCTGTCCACTGACTCTTCCTCTACAGCTGCGGTTTTCAACGGGCGGTCCACAGACCCCTGGGGGTCCACAGACTATGTCTAAGGGTCATCAAAAGATGCCTATGATCAATCAAAAGTATGTGAATACCTACACTTACCATTCAAAGGGGTCTGCACCTCCATTCAAAAGTTCCAAAGGGATCTGCACCTCTGTTCAAAAATTTTTAGGGGTTCACAAATGAAAAAAAGGTTGAAAACACCGTTCTACAGGAACTTCCTTTAATGGACTTAATAGGGCCTCACCTAATTACCCCTTTGTCACACATCCCACCTTTAGGAAAAGGATTGCAACATCTTCACATACAGAAGCCTTACACTAATAACTGCTATCTGTTGTGCAGAGAACAGTTCACCCACATCTCCACCTTTTCCACCCCCCTACAAGTAAATCTTGACCCTGCAGTGTCCCATAGGGTGAGGGGAAAAGAAAAAAGCATAGAAGTTTTGTTTGCCACATAGAACTTAACCTGCTGAAAAAGGGCTCTTCATGTAGTCTCAAAACAATCCTAGACAATTAACCAGGCCCTAAATTATCACATAAACACAATTTTCCACCCTTCTTTCAGTGCTGATTTCAAAGCACCCAGAGAGTGCGATTTAGTGGGCGGGGAGGGAAGGGGGAGAGGAAGAGTCTAGATTCATCAGGTCTTCCTGACCTACGGAAAATAAGTTAAAACCATAAGTCTACACTCATTATGGACAGCAGTTCATTGCTGACTTTGGAAAGGAACAGCTTGCTTTGTGCAGACCATTTAAATGTATAGCTATAGATTTACTGGAAGTCTTTTTCCATCATTTATGTGTATTTGCTATTTTAAAATTCCCAAATCTAACATGTAAGATACATGTGACTAGATATTTTTATTTAAAAATACAGATTTTTTTTCTTATTGGATAAAGGTTATATGAGACCATAATTAATATATGTGAACACCTAATAGTACATGGAAACCTTAAATAAAAAGTGGGATGCTTAAAATATTAACGTTAGTTGTCCAGCTTAACAAAATGCATACAATTCACCATGTTGCTATAGTCTTTAAATGAGACCAGTAAGCATTTTCTTCAGACCAACCTGAACTATCATGGGCATATTTGAATGTATTGTTTTAAGTGGCAATAAACATACTGAAAATACATATTCCTTCATCTTTAGAAGGTAAGATCCCTGCCACAGCTGCATTATTTGTTCCATCACTCCCTGTAAAATTAATATATGATTTTATAAGTTTGGATTGGAGGTTGTAGCGTTAATATTTGTCTTATGAAGAGACAGCATTTCATATGCACTTATATTCTCAGCAGTAAGAGAAGTCATAGAATCATAGAAAGTTAGGGTTGGAAGGGACCTCAGGAAGTCATCTAGTCCAATCTCCTGCTCAAGGCAGGACCATCCCCAACTAGATCTTCCCAGCCAAAGCTTTGTCTAGCCAGGTTTTGAAAACCCAGAAAGATGGAGCTTCCACCACCTCTCTGGGTAACTTGTTCCTGTGTTCTACTACCCTCCTAGTGAGAAAATTCCCTCAGTCTTTCCTCATAAGTAATGTCCCCCAGTGCCTCCACCATTTTTGTTGCCCTCTGCTGGACTCTCTCTAATTTCTCCACATCCTTTCTGTAGTGGAGGGCCCAAAACTGAACACAGTACTCCAGATGTGCCCCACCAGTGCTGAATAGAGGGGAATAATGACTTCCCTTGACCTACTGGCAACACACCTACCAATGCAGCCCAGTATGCCATTAGCCTTCATGGCAAGAAGGGCACATTGCTAGATCATATTCAGCTTATTGTCCACTGTAACCCCCAGGTCCTTTTCTGCCCAGCCACTCAGCCCCCAGCCTGTACTTGTGCATGGGATTATTTCATCCTAAATGCAGGATTTAGCACTTGTCCTTGTTGAACCTCATGAGATTCTTTTGGGCCCAATCCTCCAATTTGTCTAGGTCACTATGAATCCTAGTCCTACCCTCCAGCATATCTACTAGTCTCCCAGCTTGGTGTCATCTGAAAACTTGTTAAGGATGCACTCCATCCCATCTCCCAGGTTACTGATGAAGATACTGAACAAGACAGGCCCCAGGACCAATCCTTGGGGCACTCCACTTGATACCAGCTGCCAACTAGACATCGAGCCATTGATTACTATTCTCTGAACCCAATACTCCAGCCAGTTTTCTATTTACCTTACAGTCCATTCATTCAGCCCATACTTCCTTAGCTTCCCTGTAAGAATGTTATGGGAGACTATCAAAAGCCTTGCTAAAATCAAGGTACACCACATCCACTGGTCTCCCCACATCATAGAAAGCAATGAGGTTGGTCAGGCATGACTTGTCCCTGGTGAATCCATGCAGACTGTTCCTAATTACCCTTTTTCTCCTCCAAGTGTTTAAAAATGGATTCCTTGAGGATCTGCTCCATGATTTTTCCACGGACTGAGGTGAAGCTGACTGGTCTGTAGTTCCCTGGATCCTTCTTCTTCCTTTTCTTAAATATTGGCACTATGTTTGCCCTTTTTTAATTATCCAGAACTTCTCCTGATCACCATGAGTTTTCCAAGAAGATGGCCAAGATGATGGCTCTGCAGTCACATCAGCCAACTCCCTCAGCACCCTCGGATGCATTCCATCTGGCCCCATGGATTTGTACACGTCCAGTTTTTTTAAGTAGTCCCTAATCTGTTCTTTTGCCATTGAGGGCTGCTCACCTTCTCCCAAAGTGTGCTGCCCAGTGTAGTAGTCTGGGAGTTGGCCTTACCTGTGAATACTGAGGCAAAAAAAGTATTGAGCACTTCAGCCTTTTCTGCATCCTTTATCATAAGGTTGCCTCCCCCATTCAGTACGGGACCCACACTTTTCCTGATCCTCCTCTTGCTACCAACATACTTGTAGAAACCCTTCTTGTTACCCTTCTCATCCCTTACTAGCTGCAACTCCAATTGTGCTTTGGCCTTCCTGACTTCATCCCTGCGTGCCCGAGCAATGCTCTTATATTCTTCTCTAGTTATTTGTCCAAGTTTCCACTTCTTATAAGCTTCCTTTTTGTGAGTTAGTTTACTGAAGCGTTCCCTGCTAAGCCATCCTGGTCTTCTGTCATGCTTGCAAGTCTTCCTGCA